CGTGTGAGGCCCTGGGTTCGATCCTCAGCACCACATAAAAATAAATAAGTAAAATAAAGGTATTGTGTCCAATTACAACTAAAAAGTAAATATTTTTCAAAAAGTGAAAACAAAACAAAAAGGAAGAATCCTTGATTGGATCCTAGAACTAAAGTGGAAATGTTGGGATGAGCAGAGGATTCACACAAAGTCCATGCAAAGGTGCCAGAAACATACACTGGAGAAGAGACAGCCTTTTCAACAAATGGTGCTGGGAAAACTAGAAATCCACATGTAGTAGAATGAATTTTAATCCCTATCTCTAACCCTAAATAAAACTCAACTCAAAGTGGACTGAAGACCTAGGTATTAGATCAGAAACCCTGCACCTACTAGAAGAAAATGTAGGCACAACACTCCAATATATCAGCTCAGAAGATGACTTCCTTAACAAGACTCCTAAGGACAGAAGTAAAATCAATAGTCAATAAATGGGATGGTATCAAACTAAAAAGCTTCTTCACAGAAATGGAAACAATCAAGAGTGTCAGAGAGAGCCTATAGAACAGGAGAAAATCTTTGCAACCTACAACTCAGAAGCATCAATTTCCAGGATATACAAAAAATTCAAAAAGTTTAACACCAAAACAAACAAACAAACAAAAAACCMAAGTAACTCAATCAACAGATGGGCACATGAACTGAAAAGACACTTCTCAAAAGAAGAAATGACTGTTCAACCAATATATGAAAAAAATGTTCAACATTTCTAGCAATTAGAGAAATGCAAATTAAAATTACATTGAGTTTTTATCTCACTCTAACCAGAATGGCAATTATCAAGAATACAAGTAGTAAATATTGGCGAGATGTGGGGAAAAGGGTACACTCATATACTGTTGGTGGGACTGTAAATTGACGCAACCATTCTGGAAAGCAGTATGTAGATTCCTCAAAAAACTAAGAATAGAACTACTATTTGACCCAGTTATCCCACTCCTTGGTATACATCCAAAATTAAAATCAACATACTACAGTGACACGTCCACATCAATGCTTATTCACAACAGCTAAGCTATGGAACAAACCTAGATAACCTTGAACAGATGAAAGGATAAAGAAACTGTGATATCTATATACACAATGGAGTATTACTCCTCAGCCATAAAGAAGAGTAATTTTATGACATTTGCCAGTAAATGGGTGGATCTGGATACTATCATGCTAAGTGAAATAAGCCAATCCCCCAAAACAAAGGTCAAATGTTCTTTCTGATATGTGAACACTAACTCACAACAAGGAGAAGTAAGGGAAAGAATATGGTTTAGGGGATTAGACAGGGTAATGAAGGGAAGGGAGCAAGGATAGGAATAGGAAATATAGTGGAATGAATCTGACATAACTTTCCTATGTACATATATGAACACACCACAATGAATCTCAACAATATATACATCCACAAAACTGAGATCCTAATTAGAATAAAATATATTTGATGCTTATATAAATATATCAAAATAGATTCTACTGTCATGAATAACTAAAAAAAAAAAMCAAACAAATAAAAAAAACAAGCAAAAATTCCAATAGAGTCTAAGGACAACATGGTGTTAAGGACTCAATGTATCTGTCCCTCAAAATTCTTAAGTTGAAGCCCTAACCCCAAGTGAAGCTGCATATGAATTAAAGAAGTAATTAAGTAAATGTAGAACCTTGATGGGAAGTGATTAGTGTCCTATTAAAAAAAAAAGACATTAGAGAGCTTGCTYACTCCTCTCAATGATGAGAGGACACAGCAAGATGGCAGACTGCTACAAGTGAGGAGACCCCTCACCAGGAACTGAATCTTTCAGCACCTTGATATTGAACTTTAGGCCTCCAGAAATGTGAGAAATAAATCAATGTAGTTTAAACAACCCCATMTGCAGTAAATTGCTGTTGTAGGCCTAGAAAACTAATATATTAGGTCATTGTATTTGTCTGCCGTGGAGACAAGAGTTCATTCTTTACCAAATTTTTGCTCAGAATGAAATCCCAGTGTCATTTTCATGATATTGACTATGGTATTTCAATATGGCAGCTCAAGGTGACCATAGATGGTAATACTAGATTAATATTAACTTCCTCATTTTTATGTCTGTACTGTGATTATGAAGAAGAAAGTGTCCTTATAATTAGAAGATACACCTGGAAGTATTAAGTTTAAAGTTTTGGAATATCATTTCATATCTTTCAATGGTGCAAAATTTTTAAGAGAATCTAGATGAAGGATATGCTAGAAATTTGTGCACTATTGCTGCAACTTTTATGTACATTTTTTAATTATTTCAAAGTAAAATTGGATGTCCATAGCCCTATGCTTATCAATAGATGAATGGACTAAGAAAATGTGGTATATATACATAATGGAGTTTTACTCAGCCACTAAGAATGAAATTATGGCATCTGCTAGTAAATAGCTAGAAATATAGAATATCATGCTAAGTGAAATAAACCAGACTCAAAAAAATCAAGGGTCAAATGTTTTCTCTCATATGCAGAAGTTAGAACAAAATAATGGGAAAAAAGGCGAGGGATCTGATATTTCAATGATATAGAGAAAATCAGTGGAGTGGAAGGAGATCAAGAGGGGGAAGCGGGGAGGGATGGGAAAGGGGATAAAATGTGAAATTAATTTAACAAAATTACCCTATGTTCATACACAAATATACCACAGGGAATTCCACATTTATGAGTATGTAGAAATCACAAATCAAAAGTAAACAAAATAGCAAAAGGAAAATCAGTAGAGGAAGGAAAATGGGAATGGAGGAGAGGAGCAAAAGGGAAGGAGAACAGGGAATGAAATGGAGTAAATTAAATTCCAGCATGTATGATTTTGTCAAAATGAACCCAACTACTATGTATATCTATAATGCTCTAATTTAAAAAAAAAGAAGGTTGAACTAAATGATGTTTTACATAGAAAATTTGAAATATCAAAAATATTTTGTCATCCAGAAGTATTCCATAAACATGAATGCCCTTTTATATTATCGTAAGATTAGATATGCTACATATTTTCTTTTATTAAATGAGAAATATACAAAGATCAATGCCACTTTGCTACCAACATTATTATACCTTAGAAATAAATACTTTCATTTCACATTTACAAAAAATAAAGTGAAGTAAAATAAAATAAATATTCCAATACAAAGACGGTATTATTGACATATTTATACTGCTACCTGGAGCTATGTGGAAGGGGTGTCCGGGTAGAGGGTATGGTTAAGAAGAAATGTATTACTGGCTTCAAGGACATGAACGATTGCATGGGATTTGAATCTATGCTGCAAAAAAAAGTTAAAATATGAGGTCTTATCCAAAAGAGCTCACAATCTGCTATAAGAACCAAGATACATATACGTGAAAAAGATTTTCAAACATTGTCAAAACACAATATGAATAAATTTGAAGAATCATAGAATCTTGAAAAGATTTCTACAAAGTAGAAAGGAGTCAGGAAATAACTGAATTTTATTGGCTCTGCAATTGTGGTCTTATGACCACAAGTTAATTATTCACTCAAGGTGACAGTCATCACTCAAGGTGACTGTCATCACTCACCTGGACTACCATAATTGCCTCTAACTATTCCACTTTCATTCACACCCCTTACCCCACCCCAAAGTAACCAATCTCTCTTTTTCACTGTGCCTCAAATTGGGTCATGTTATATGCTCCAAACACTCCTAATAGCTTCCCTTGGACATGGCTTAGGAGGCTTTGTATTATCGGGCCTCTGTATAACAACTCTGACCCCATTTTCTTCCTCTCTCCATCCAGCTTGTCATTGCACAAGTAGCTCTTTATCATGGTTTCGGACTAGGCTCAAATATCACTTCTTTAGAAAGATCTTATTTGGGCCTTTTTTAAATAAGACCTAATTTTGCTGCCCCTCCTGGGGTCATCACTCTCAAATTACTTTATGTCATTCCAATGTCATCCTTGACTGATTATTATCTGAAATTCCCTTTGTATGTATCTGTAACTTGATTATCTCCTGTGTTCTTCCTAGCAGATTGAAAAGTGTGTGGACCACAGTAAGAGTGCAACCAATAAATGTTGAGTGACAAAGTTTCTCAGGCCTTCAGTTTTTTCATCTATAAAGTGGGGATAATTGATTTGTGCTAGCCCTTAGAAATAAAGTCTCTTACTAAAATTCTTACTATGCCTCAGGTACTGTGAAAAATCACTTCATATACATATTCACATTAATTATGTTGATTTCCATTTTAGGAATATGGACACTAAGTTTTCGGTGAAGTTACTGGCCACCTTGAGGGCCCGGTTAAGAATGTGGAAACGCCTAACCTGAGAATCTGAGTTCTGAATCACGATTTTATAGTCTGCAGAAAGATGCTTCCTTCTATTTCAGTAAACTCGGCTCTGCAATCTGCTTCCCCTTTGGTCCTAGTTAAGTATTTTGGGACAGCTGAAGAAAGCGTCACATCCCTCTCTCTTTGGTTTTGTTTTTTCCTCCCAAAATGAACATCTCCATTTCTCCCCAATCCCTCCTTTTCAGTGACCCTCATACTCTGGTCACTCCCTTCTGAGCATACTCAGGTTTGCTAAGTCCCTTTCGCTCCAGACGTGGTGACTGTCACTGGGCGAGTGGCAAAGGGACATCACAGCGGTAGAAGCCCATGCCCAGGTGAGAAGTTGCACATGTTGAGTATCCGAGAGGACTGTGGTTAGCACAGAAGGCTTCCTGCGACAAGCGATCCCCGAGCCCAAGTCAAGGGCAGTAAGCACGGAGACCAGAGCTGGGGAGCCCTAAGCAGAGGTACCGCGGGAGCGCCGGCCGCCAGGTCAAGACAAAGACTGGTGGACTTCAGGAAGGTCAGGGGTACAATCACAGATGATGATAACACTGCACACGGAAGGGCAAACCGCATTTTCCTCGAGATTAAGTTAAAGAGTGCCCTGGAAGGGAGCAAAGTGGGAGGGACAGCCACGAAGGAAAAACGCGAACTTACCGTTAGTCCCGCAAACCGGCCTCCGTAGCTAGACTGCAAGCGTTGCCACCTGAGGAGTCTGGTAGCCAAGGCAGGGGCCGGCTCAACCCAGACACCGCGAGAAGTAACAGGCCTCGCGAGACCGGACCTCTCGTCCCTGACAGGCGGGTGTCCTTTCAGGGGGTTATGGGAGCGATCTGGCGTCCGGGATGGAGGCTTGTTGCTTTTTGTGGCTGGCGATGGAGCCATCCTGGATCCCCGACTGGGGCTGCGGGGAGGGTAGAGCCGTTCCTTAGCCTGGAGTGGAGTGGAACAGGAGGGGCTGAGAGAGGGCTGAGACGGCTGTGGACATGGGAACGCCGGAGACCGGCCCGGGACCCAGCCGCGCAGTGGCGGCGGCGACCGAAGAGCACAAACCCTTTCACACGGGCGCAGGAGGAGGACTGGAGGCGGCGGAACAAGACGGTGCTCACCTACGTGACCGCGGCCGCCGTGGGCATGCTGGGGGCCTCTTACGCCGCTGTGCCCCTTTATCGGCTCTATTGCCAGGTAGGGGGCGGCGCGATCGGGAGGGTCAAGACACAGACTGGTGGAGTTTAGGAAGGTCAGGGGTACAATCACAGATGATGATAACACTGCACACGGAAGGGCAAACCGCATTTTGTGCGGGGCAGAACCTCGGAAGCCGCCCCTCTAGAAGAGGCTCATAGTTGGAAGGTTGTCTAAGGTCTCAAAGAGGAAACTGGCTCTATCAGTGACTTGTTCAAGGTCACCGAGAAAGTTAGTGGAAAAGCTCAATAGAATCCTAGTCCCCATAGTGGTTGTTTATTCCACGCAGCAGAGTGAATTTCTCTGATCTCTACCTCGCCACCCAKGAGGACCGAATATGAACCCCCAACTATCACCTGGTTACTTCATTAGAAGAACCGAATCCAGATCAAGTGTAGATCCAACTCAAAAACCATCACTGGCTGGAAGGAGTGATTTTGTCCCCCCAGGGAACTGTTAGCAATGTTTGAAGACCCGTTTGTTACAACTTGGGGTGATATCGGGTTGAGTGGTACTGGCATACAAGTGGGTAGAGGCTAGAGATGCTGCCAAATATCCAACAGTGCACAGGACACCCTCACTTTCCCCMAAAAATTATCCACCCCCAAATATCAGCACTGGTTAAGAAACCCTGCTCCAAACAGTTGAGAATATTGTGTATGTGTCTGTCTTTACTTGGAATGGTAGGGCAGAAAGGTGAAAAATATTGTAATCCTAAAATCAGGTTAGATGTTAAACAAGTGATATGTGATGAACATCTTCTGTTACTTCTGGAATCACAAAAATTTTATAATGAACAGTGTCCTCATTTTATGAGCATGTAAAATGTAATCCAAAGAAAATAAGATTTATTCAGTAAGTTGCAAAACTAGACCTGAGCTCAGTACAACTTTTCAATGCTTTTTAATTGTGTGTATATTAAACACTGAACTTAGAAATTTTGAAGAATCTGTATTCAAAAAGTATATTAAGGAATCTTATATTGAGGGAGGACAAATTAAAGTGACTCTTAGGAAAAGAAGTTACATCTCAAAACTCAAATATTATTGTTAGGCAGAAGAATATACTTATCTGTTAAGCAAGGATAATGACTTGCCCTCTGATGCTTCTTTTTTGATTATAGTGCAATTTGATAATGTCACATGGAAGTTTAATGAAGTTAGGTGACTATAAGTAGCAGAAGATAGTAATATTATATCTTGCTGGGAATCTACCCCTAACCTGAAATTTTGTTTTGTTGTGTTTCCAGTATAGTACAGTAAAAGGTAAATTATCTGGAAACCAAAATTCTGACGACCTCAAGCATCAGAAGAATGACAACCAGGGATGCAAGGACTTTTTTTTTTTTTTAAGCATATGAGAAAGTAATAAAGTCAAACAAGAAAATAATCAATGCCAATGAAGTTAAACAAGAAATGTCAGATATGTGCCCTGTGATAGGCTGATTCAGTGGCCAAAGACATCATGTCCTCTAGTTAACCAGTGACATCTACAAAAGTATATTATGAGAAGTAAACCATACAAAAACTTTAATTGGCATGGGAAAATACTTAAAATGCTGTAGAAAAGCAGTATATGGAAATAAAACTACAGTGTAATTTTGATATGGAAAAGAACCAGAAAGAAACATGGAAAAGTGGAAATAATAAGTATTTTCATTGAAATGACCGGGTTTGGGGTAAATTTTATTCTAGTGAGTACAAGATACTAATAATAAAGGGAAGTATGTTTAATAAAAGGCTAATCTGGAAATTCTGTGCTCTATTTTCTGTGATAATAGATAATAGTTTTTTTAATTCAAAGAAACTACTTTTCCCAAAGGATTCACTTTTGATCATTCAGATAATCACGACTTTGTTGAGACATACCATATGGATCACTTTAAGATAAGCTTTTGACACCTTAAAAATGGGCAAACCATTGGCAGTTATAGGAAATGGTCAGAGATAGTATTTAAACATGGCTTTAACTGGATTATTGCTTTTAAAATTTTGCTTTGTTCAAGAAATAGATCAACATCTGTATTATTTAACATATTTAGTATCTTTTTTTCCTAGACTACTGGACTTGGAGGATCAGCAGTAGCAGGTCATTCATCAGACCAAATTGAAAACATGGTGCCTGTCAAGGATCGAATCATTAAGGTTACCTTTAATGCAGATGTGCATGCAAGTCTCCAGTGGAACTTTAGACCTCAGCAAACAGAAATATATGTAAGTAACTAAAGCAATCATTAGATTTCTTTTTTCAATGTAAAAACCGTTTCATCTTAAGTTGTCATACTAACAGATTCCATGAATAATTCATGGAATATATTTCACGAAATGGAATTATTCATGGAATTTGTTAGTATTTTGAAATAATTGCTTTTTTTTTTCCTTTGTATTGGGTTTGAACTCGGAGAACCTGTACCACTAAGCTACATCCCCATTTCTTTTTAATTTTTTATTTTGATACAGAGTCTCACTGAGTTGCCTAGGCTGGCCTCAGCTTCCTGAGTCACTGGGATTATAGGCATGCACCACTATGCCCAACTGAAATAACTTTTTAATAGTGCTTTGTACTTAATGTAATACAGCATATACTGTGAAGTTTTCTTAAGTGTTAACTAATTGCAACCTTGCAAGGATTTTAACTGAAATTCTCTCAATTGAGGATTAACAAGAAAGACTTAATTTCAACCCTCATTGGAAAACGCTTCTAAATATTAGTGCTTGTCCAGTTTAGTTAACTGACTGAGTATCTTCAATGACTAAGGGTTTCATAGGTTACAATTTTGCATTGGTTCATTTATGTGGTAGAAAACAAGGTACAAGATGGTATACTGGTACAAGTGGACAGACTATCTTTTGGAAATTTTTTATTTTAAGCTTCCCTATTTTCAATGCATTAGCATTTTTTTGATTTTATTCATTTGAATTTACTTTGATTATAATTTAATTCAAGGTAAGTTTAATGTTAGTATCATTTAAAAAAAATAATCATGACATTCATGTTTAAGTATTACAAAGAAGTGAGGCTTGGTCTATGATATACCTGGCTTGTCTTTGAACATATTTTTGAATAATTTATAGACTGTTGTTTGAAAATCTCAGATATATGAGGGTAATACGTAACTAATTATACCTAACAATACACTGATTCTTCATTAACATGCAAATAAAATTTGAGACTCAGGTTTGTGGGTAAGATTCACTGTTTATKTTGCTGAACTTCAGGTGTGGTGGTCTGAAGAACAGCAAAAATAAGGATTGTAATTTAGTAGGGAAAAAAAGGAGGTATGTGAGATTTAAAGTACTGATAACATATGTTCTTTAAAACAGGTAGTACCAGGAGAGACTGCATTGGCATTTTATAAAGCTAAGAATCCTACTGACAAACCAATAATTGGAATTTCTACATACAATGTTGTACCATTTGAAGCTGGACAGTATTTCAATAAAATACAGGTAAACAGTGCAAAAAAGGAATATAGTAAAGGTACATGAAACTGTTTAGTATGAAACTTACTATAATGCTTTAGTAGATACTTATAATTTCTGAAAACTATTTCTTATAGACTTCAAGCTACTTTTATCTTAACTATTTAAACTGCTATATAAAGACTGATCGTCAAACCAAATTAATATTTTGCTTTTAAGATTAGAATTTCAGTACTTAAAACAAAACTCAATCTGAGCTTGAAACATGCTATTAGTCTATCATAGAACTTAAAAGTCAAGAAGTGACTATTCCTTTGTTACAGATAATAGAAATGTTATTAAACAAATACCTTTCTATAATTTCTAGTGCTTCTGTTTTGAAGAACAAAGGCTTAACCCCCAAGAGGAAGTAGATATGCCAGTATTTTTTTACATTGATCCTGAATTTGCTGAAGATCCAAGAATGGTGAATGTTGATCTTATCACTCTTTCTTATACCTTTTTTGAAGCAAAGGAAGGGCACAAGTTGCCAGTTCCAGGCTATAATTGAAGTAGCAACCAAGTCCTACTTCAGATTTATGATTTTTGAGAAATCATGTATCCTGCCTTCTCAGAAGAGAAATATTCTGTAATGAGATGAAGTGAAGCCTTCTATTTTGAGCATTTTTTTTAAATAAAAGAACAGTTTCAGCTTTTTACCATAAGAAACCCACATGTTTATATAGACTGTATGACTGTTTACTACCATATTTAAGAATGTGATAATATGAAGAGAAACTGCTTTGTTTCTTACATGTGCAGGCATGAACTTGATCATTGTTCAGCTTAATTCTATAGTTGCTTTTCAAATTATTGGCCCTTCATACACACACACACACACGCCCACAGTTATCTGTTTCAGGCTATAGAACAGAACTTTGGACCATGTTTATTTATCTCCAAAACAGCTATTTTCCTTCAGTGTGAATGGCCATTATTTTAAAAAATTCAAAGGTGAAAGAAAAGTCACTAAGCCCTAAAATGGCTCAAAGATTATATTCTTATTTCAAATTTGACTTTAGTTTCCCTTTAAGGTCTAGGTCTATTTTACATTTGAATATTGAATTACTTTGAAATTGTGACACTATGAAATTGAAATAAAATGTAATATAATGTAATAATAATGTAATATATCTAATTAGACTGCTTGCATTTACTTTCTTAGTTCCAAGCCCCTGAATGTTAAAAGGGAAGGATGGGATTATGAAGATTACTGACATAGAAGTTCTGGGATCAAAACTGTATAAAAAAAAAAAATAATAAATTATTTTAAGTTATTTGTCATTGTAATTTATGTAAATGAATACACAATTTATTCTGACTGTTTTCCAGTAGTCTTTGTTCCAAATAGAAATGTTAATTATAACAAAAAGGGTAGGGGGCAATAGAAGATAATTTAGCATTATAAAGAATTATTTTTAAAGAAGTGCAAATTATCTTACATTCAATTTTAGTTAAGTGAAGGCACAAAATGTTCTTCCTGAATAATACATTTAGTTTCTCCCATCTATTTAGAATTATTTTGTAGTAACAGTAATAAAGTAACAATCTTTATCTACTTTTATCACAGCTGTGTGATTGTTTTCTATATATAGGAAGATGTAGGCAACCRAAGGTACTGCAATTAAACTGGTTGGCCTAAGGACTAAGTAATTGTTCTTCCAAAGTTTTAAGTGAATATTTGCTACATCCACATTCTACTGAAATTTTGATTGGTTGTCATTAATCATGAATATTACTCTGAAATTATTATTCTTCTGCTTATACTTCATTATAGCAGAGAAGAAATGGTCCACTGTGGCTTTCACATGTTGGTAGGTCTTGTCTTCCAGGTCTCAAAGCTGGATAGGATCTACCCTTTAAGAGAGCTAGCCCCTCTGTGCTGCTAGTGAGCTGATTGATCATCCACTTTAACCTAAAACAGAAGAAAATTGGTCATTCTCCATCCTGCCCTCCTTGATAACTCTTGTTTACTTCTTGATAACTCTTGTCTTTTTTCTACTGGGAGATAGAAGAGCCAGTCAAATAGAGGAATGGTGGTAATGTACTACTTCTGTAGGGGATGGTGTGGCGGGAATACATAATAGGCACCTGATAATCAGACATTTATCAGGAAGTAAGTGGGATGACTAATGCAACAAAATAGGGAAAAACCAGACCTATTTGGAGGACTAACAATGAATGGGTTTTCTTGGTACCAAGTTAACAGGTATTAACTGCACATTAAAGCCAAACACCTGATTTTAGTGATAGGGAATTTCTATTGATCAAATATTTTTTTTTTTAGCATTAACATTTCAATCCCATAAACCCAACTTCTGCATTCCCAAGTCTCATTGCTTTTTGCTGACAAGATCACAAAGATTGTATTTCCTTAGTGAAAAACAGTTCTTTACAGTTTGAATGATCCAGAGGAATTCCTGTTATTTCATTAACCATAAGCATAAAACTCAGCCATTACAAAATATAACTACTGAATGCAAAAGGTGATGTTACACTGAAATTAGATGGAATATGGAATGTAATTGAAGTTTTTACCTCAACAGTTACTATGACTTCGAGCTCCTTTGTGGGGATAAACATCTATTTCTTCATAAATAGCTCTGAAACAAAAAAAGTTATCACAGTTAAAGTGTTATATATCAATTCAAAGTATTATGTTGCTTTTTTAACTTCAGCACCATAATTAAATATCTGGGGCTGTCTGAGAAGGTCAGGCATCAATGAATAAAAACAAAGATATCTGTCCTGAAGCTTGAAGTCTAACTTTCTTTCTTTCTTTTTTTTTTTAAGAGAGAGTGAGAGAGGAGAGAGAGAGAGA